CTTATTAAAAAGTTTAATAAAAGCTGCCTTTTTCTTTTCTTTTCTTTGGATTTAAGAAGATAAAAATAAAGTAGACAATGTTTTTCTTTGTCCACAAAGTTGAAAATGTTTAAATGTAAATTGACTGAAAATGACCGTTTAGCTCATATTATTGTACTTGTTTAATAGAGAGTTCCGTCATTTTTTCTCATTTTGCGGGCCGATTTTTCCTTCTTATTATTTAAAGTTAATTAATATAGACATGCGTTTGGTGGATATTAAGTACGTACCACAATCGTTTTCAATTAAAAAATTCGGACCATTGAATCCTAATTTTTTCTAACAAATTTTCTCAATCTGTATATCATCTACATGTTAATTTAATGACTAATTAGAATCAAACAAAAATATATACGTTTTGCACATGTGGATGATTAATTGATATACCATCTAAAACCAAAAATAAGTATCTATAACTTAATATATAGTGTTTCGAAACTAGTCGTTCATATACACTCTTAGCACCTAATTTCACCAAACCGATGGCAGTAATCACTAATCAGAAACTAATCTGATTAAGTAAGTGATTAGTTTAAGAATTAACGTTGATTGGGCTCCGATTATCAATTGAATGTGTTGTCGCAATGGATGGAAACAAAAGGGGACGCAAAACGAAAGAAGTCTGAAAACAGTTAATCCACCGTCACGGCTTAAAACTGGTCGGCTAATTTATAATTAAAATTGATTATCAAGATTAGGCATTGTCTCTATTTAAGAAGTCTCGTTAGACCAACATGCGTCGCACAAAAGCTGTAATGGGCTCCGTGCACCTCCATTTCAATCAGTTTTATAAGTAATAGACTAATAGTATAAATATATCTCTTTATTTTGTATAGTCTATGGTATTTTTGTTATCATCGAAAATTCTTCACGGAATCAGAAACATTTATTGGTAACATCGTCATGTATTTTGGACTTTGGGCTAGAAGGGGATTGACTCGATGATAATAGATTAACGTAACAAAAAACGATGCATGAGTAATTGAACAAAAATGTAGAGAAACAAAAAAAAAAATCTTTTTTGAGGGAGAGCAAGGAACAGTTGTATAGATTTATGTGTAGTTTATGGGCTGTAATCCAAATGACTACAATATTCCAAATTTAGAACAAACTTTAGGGTAGATGCATCGATTAGTATTACCATACATTTGTTTTTAAAAAGATTAACCAAAACATATAGCATTG